TCGTCAATTCTCAGTTGTTACAATTTTCATGATAAACTGACCCCTCTAAATACGAAGCATCACTTAAGAAGCCTAGATTACCTATGCGGTGGCTTATGCTGACGTGGATGGCATTATACCTGAGATCGCATTTGTTGAGAGTTGTGGTAATGTGTCTATTTTGCACTCACACTAGCATTACGGGTTAAACAAAACTAAATCGTGAAACTGAAATGAAATGAAATATGAAAAGGCAAAGAAATTTTTTCAATATTTTTTTCATAAGCAATATGCGTTGTAGCAAACTTATTATATTCCATTCCTTGCGGTTGCAGGCATTAAAGTAAATAAAAAATTTGTTTGGCTCATATATATATGTATATAAATATATGTATATATATGTAGTTCTTTTAAAAAAAAAAAAAAAAAAACTAATTTTTTTCTCAACATTTGTAGTCGCCATAAGTGGCTTAGCTCAGCAATGGTTCTTTACGGCACTTTTCTTAATCAATATCGCTTTTAGTCTCCCTCTTAAGGGATTTAAACTATTTCAAACTTCAACCTCAAAGAATTGTCACCTCTTACAGTCCACGCATAGATATATATATATATATATATATATTTCCATTCAGTGACTGACATTGACATCTTCAAACACCAGCAAATTTAGCAAACGACGACACCAATGTGTGATTGATCAAAGCAATACTTTTAGTTACGATCCAGTCAATTCACTTCAAGTTCAAGCTCTAATTGCACCATAATTTTCTAAAATAGTTTAAGAATGTCAACGATGTTTCTGTATTAGTGTTTTACTATTGTTTTACAACTTTTGTATACGTTAACTTTCGTATGTTGTGCTACGTTGCATTGTAATCGTAATTGTTTGTTGTGCATTATGTCAACATATAATATTGCGGTGATTCGGTTTTTTCTCTTTTTTTTTTGCGCTTTTTGTACGAGAACTTGTGTTTAGAGATCTTTTACCATACAAGTATTTAACACCTCATACCAATGTTGTGGTTTTTCCACAACATTCATTGTGATTAACTTCAAACTATACGTATGCGTATGTATTGAGGAATGTAACTAATACTATTTTCTTTTTCTAGATGCACACCACCTTAAACTGACAGTGTACGTACCAATGTTATCATTCCCTTTTGTAACATTCAAAAAATAGCCATTGAAATACGCACACACGATACTCTACCACCTCTTTCCATAGATAAAGTTTGAAAGTAAGTTTACTCCGCTTTCAGGAAAACAATTTCGAAAAAATACCTCAAAGGGAATATTATTCATAGTCGCTTTCGATTTGAAATTAAAGTCCAGCATTCTTGAGATTCACTCCTGCCAGATATTTATATATGCAATCCGTTATTGTGAATATTATAATAATTTAAAGAAAACTTTTTTCTTGTTTTTGATGTTTGTTTTGTACTTATGTGTGCTTCAAAAATATAGAATTTTCTTAATTTTCTTAATCCAATCTTTTATAAGAGAAAAAAATGCATTTCATATGTACTTCATAGAAGATAATTATGTGTGAAAAAATGAAACCTAATATTAATTCCTAGGGTTATTGTAACTAATATGAGATTGTGCTGCACTTATAAATATGAACTTGTTGTAGTCTACTTGGCATCGAACCCGCCAAGTTTTCTCAAAGTGCTCATATCAATCTTCTCTCATTCCGATAATATTTCAAGTTTGAGTTTCTTAAGCTTAAAACACTCACACACAAACACACGTTTAAAAAACGTCTCGGCGGAAAGTATTCCCGAACGAATATAAGCGTTACTTTGTTGTAACATCCAATTATTACCATATAACACACTAACATAGTCTACCAAATTGTTCTCTAACAAGTCAACATATGGCACCGCGTTTATTTTTCTGGATGCAAAGCCTACTTTTGACGTTTTCCATGCTTCAAATGCAGCCCGCGCTCAAATGAAACTTTTTCTCATCATCATTTGGTACAATATTTTCGAACACTTCCTTCTAAAATTTATATTTGTCGGAAAATGCTATACGGGAATTCTTATGGCACTGGGTTTAGCGTGGTTTGACAATTTTGTATTCATACCTGAGACCTTTAGCGTCCTTAGAAAGTTGCTGCACACATGTAAGCCTAATTCTATCTTTATTTACTTGCAACTCATATTTTCATTAGCTGCTAAATACTCGATATGCCGCTTGATCTTCTAATGTACGGTTGGCATGCGGCTGTTATGCTTAATTCTACCATGGCTTTTAGGGTATTTTAAAGAATTTGAGATTGTATTGCGGTGACATATTATCGTAACTGCTATGTCGCCAATTATCTGAACAGCAAGTCTCATTTCTTCAATTTTCTTATCCTCTTCATCCGAAAGTTCATCTCATCTGGCATTTTAAATTATTATCATTAGTATATTTTATTTACAGCAAAACAATAAATTCTAAGACTAAAAGTAGGATGAACACTAGCAACGAACCACTAGAAACTAGACACTAGCAACTAACTATTCCCTCTCCTTTTTCGCTTAGGTAGATTATATGATTAGTTTAACAGCCTTAATAAAGTTAAATATTTTATTGAGACATTAAGATCTAAAGGTATTTTCAAGATGTGGATCCGAAGAACATTAGAAAGGTTCTGCCGTTCACAAAGTGTATGATTAGTCGCAAGATGTTGTCCAGAATCGCAGCTAGAAGAAGTAGAATTCTTATTGATTCATTGATGTGTTGCAATGGCATGTCCAGATCGGGTTCTTGCAAACGTTTTAATCTTGGTTTTCGTGATGTTGATTGGATATGTACTGTCGAGTTCTTTCGTCATTTTTCTCTTTGATTTTGTTAATAATATCCTTGTGAAGTTCAAAGTTTTCAATTAGAAGCATATCTACTTAACTACTATTTACCTACGGGGATACTTGAGAAAGGGAGAGTGTATATGCATAACAGTACATTATGAACCCAAAAATAATTTACCAAACTATATATGCATACATAATTATTTGTCAGAAAGTTGTATACAACCACATGCTCAGAATGGGCAAAACTATGAATAAACTCTTTCACGTATTATTTACATTTTTTACATGGTTAGGAAGGGATATATGCTTAGAGAAACCAAGGAAACACTCTTGTAAAAATTACATGTTTTACGAAAGTATTAGGAAGGATGTATGCTTAGAGAAACTAAGGCAACAATATTATAAAAATTATATTTGAAAAATTTGGTCGTTTCCATCTTGTAATTGCGAGCAGTGTAAAGAAAAAAAATTATATACAGAAGCGTATGAGGAACGCACATATTTATATGCAATCCAAACAGGAGTTTTTAACACACTTGCATCATATCTACAATAAAATGGTAAGTCAGACGATCTAAATTAATAAATTCAATTTATTCACAATTTATAGCCGTAAACAGGGACGATTGCAACTTACATGAACTCGAGTTACATATAGGGCTCATGAAAAGCTCGCCTGCTGGCGGAAAATTTCCGGAAAATTTCCATTAATTTGCTACGGCAATGTGCGAGAAGCCATCTTCTGCGTAACTAATACTACTTTCAACGTAAAAGCCTCGCTTATATATAATCTTATCTAAAGCCCGACTTAAGATAAGTCGCCTAACAGCGACTATATTTAATAGTCACACTACACGCCAGCACTACGTCGAATAACATAGAACCACTTCATTTATTTTCATAATAAAACACCAAATACATACCTGACTACATATCAAAACATACTTCTAATGGAATCCCTATTAGGAGCGCGGGACGTAAAACATGAGCTTACATGGTCCAAAAGTAATAATCTTCTCTATTTTCATTATAAAATATTAAAAATAAGAATGTGTTACCATATAACGGCTCAGTTTTAATGAGAGATTTTAAAAGGGGCGCAAAGGGAAGAGGCCTACAATAGCACCTATTCGGGTTACCTTATGAAGTAAGTTATGCTTAAGTCTCTAATGGAGACTTCTGGTTATTGCAAAGATATTTAGGACGATCATCTTTCGGTGGTTGGTGCGCATGAGGCGAATATTTGATACCCATGGCATTAAATAATATTTGACTTATATAAAGCAACCGGTGACTTTCTCAGTTTACTTGGCCTCACTATTTATTTGTGCAATTTTGTGTGAGTAGTTCCTGTAGCTTGTACTCTATGAATTAAATCTTTCATTTTGAGCGTATCAGGACTATTGCATAGACTATAACACATTTGGACGTCTAAGAAGAATTGCCGACTTTCTACGCCACCCACTTTTTCCAACTAATTCAATTAGACGATCGGTCTAAAAAAATTGTATAGAATTTCAGCTTTTTGCGCTAGTAAAAAGTAGTAATAAGAGAGTGTAAAAAAAGTGGCGATCACTGTTTCACGCCTCTCACAGTGTTCAAATGCTTTTTTATTTATAGTCGCAGTTATGCGCGCTACGAAAGCGCACAACACCACAGCTAGCAAATTTATATTCGTTTTTGTATCTTCTTTGAATTTATCATTTATTCTCCACTAATCCATATATCTCAACGGTAGTGTTTTTTCTGTTTTTATTTTTGATAACTCAGTAGTTGTTTTTGTCCATTTTTGTTTGGTTTTTATTTACTAACTTAACTTTGTGTCCTTTAAATCTTTTTTAGTAGAGTGTTGTGATTTTTTGCTTTTTGTAACGTGTCAAGAATGGTGACATATGTTTTTGTAATAACACAACAGCAGGGATTTGTTGTATTTCAATTTGTTTTTCGCAATTGACTGGGGGTTGCGGACAACCCCTTCAACTGGAGAGGCTTGGACCGCCGTAAGTTACTGTTAATAACTTCTATTTATACAATGCATTAATAAGAAAAAATTTCTGCGAATTACAAATCGCCAAGGCATGTAGCGGAATAGAGTGCAACAAAAAAGCTAAGGAAGTTGCAAAAGCTTTATCAGCGACCAACCCCAAGGATTATAAAAAGCTTAAGGGAAAGACATTCATTCCACACCGCAAGTAAATTAAATAAAATTTCTTCTTCATGGTTGTGAGACGATTTTATTATTAAGAATAATTAAATAGTTTTCGGTGAAAATCAACGCTTGAAGCTTAAAAATTTTACTTTGCAAGAGTTTTCGCTTTCAACAGCATTGCCAACGTGAATAAGGATAAATGCTTTTGCTTGGATCCTAACTTAAAATAGGGCCTCGTATTTCACTGCCCAATGCCGAAAGTTCTTTAAGAAATTGTTGAGCATTTGTTAGAGTCGTTGATCCATATATAATACGCTTCGTTGCATTGCTAGTTTGCTTCTGACGCACGTAGTCCACCAGGTTTTGATATTCAATGTAATTTCCACCACCTACTATGAAAACTACGGCATCTTGAAATGGTGCACGATTTTTAGGCATAACGTCGCCCCCTTTCAATAATTTGGGATCCAAGTAAAGGTAATCATCAGTATCGGGATTACTGCGACATTCCATAATTTGCTCAGTTAATTTAGTAACTGGCAGGCTCTGAAATGGCAATGAGGAGATAATCATTATCTGTTTCTCCAAATCAAGTGTTAATCGAATGTTTAATCAACTTGTTCTACCAGTTATCTAGAAGCTGCTTCCTTGGCTGAATTTACTCGTGTCGTCAAAAGCTTTCTTTAAATGCCTTGATACAATAACAACATGCTTGTCCTACTCTCACTTTAATTTTAATTGGTAAATTTTTTAAATTATTTGAATTGTTTACCCACAATTTAATCAACTAGAAGTAGATAGATAGTTTTTGTTTTTCTGACTAAGTCTTTGTGTTATGTGACAAATTCCTAAAACTTTTTTTTTCTTTTAGCATCTTGTGAATAATAGATGCTCGAACTAACAGCAAGTACCCCTACTTGGATTATACCCATCACCTAAGGATGAGGAATATCTTCACACAGTATATGATCTGCAACAAATTCTAAATCGATTTAAGTATCTCCGTCTGTCCATCTGCATAATGTCTCTTGTATACCTTCTCCTGGGCATAAATATGAAGCCATCAACAGTAATATTTTCGTACGCAAGTTGGCATTGAAAATGAGCAAATTCGGTCGACTATGTATAGTAAGAACGCATCTGCTTTTCAAATGGAATAAAAAATTGTTTTTTTGCTTATTACTCATAAACTGTAGGAGGTATATGTACGAAAATTGAACGCATATGCTATGAGCAATGCTGTCGTATCTGTACAAAAATAGAAATAGTTGACCACGCCTACCAAATATAATGCCTGCTATAGTATCACGCCCACTCCATATTAGAGCGCATGAAAGTTTAATTCTTTTTTTTTTGCCGATTTTAGGATAACGTTATGTGTATAAAAGATTCGGTCACGAGTAAATTTAATTTTTCTTCACTTGATTAAGCGTTCCTAAAGCTAGTAGCAGAAAGTCATTGTTCCTCCCCTGAATATCTCTTTTCTTTCCGTGATCTGTTATAATTTCCTTTCATTAGTTTTACTATTTTTTCTGTGTATTAAGTGTTTTAAGAATTTAAATTTTATGACTTATTTTTAAACTTACATGTCGCTTCACCACTAAATTTTTAACTCCTTCCATAACAAACGACGATCCTTGTGATACAAGCTTTGAAAACATTGAAACTGTTTTGGTGCCACCACCTTCATATTGTGTCCCGGGATTTGTTGTCGACGAACGATTTAATATGCTTTTCCAACGTTGTATGTAAGCTAGCGATGATAATTCACCACCCGCCTCTTGAAGAACCTCCTTCAGTCGTTCCACTTCATACTCAGGAACGTTTTGCGAACAAATGTAGAAAATCACAAATAGCCGCAATTTATCTTCAATGGTGCCGAATTCGGGATCTTTGAAAAGTTCAAACAGAGGTTTATCTAAGGTTTGCTTAGACATGATTTTTTCTTCCAGTTCGAAAAAAGAATCTAAACGTCGCGCTTTAATGCAGTTTAATATAGCGGTTGCTATTTTCGTATGCATGTCTATTAAACGTTTCTTTTCCATGAGTTGAGGCAGAGAGTTTACAGCGCTCGTCAGACGTGCTGTCGTGTCATTTACCATAGAAAAAGCTACTTCATTTTCACCGTCTATGCCCATAAAAGTTTTCAAATGTTTGATTTCCTCTTCGGAATTGCGATAAGACTCCAATTCCTCTTGTATAGCCTCAGCAACAATAGGAAAGGGGCTGCCTTTATGGGTGGCCCAAAAGCGATCGTTGCGATCCAAATCACAGGCTTTAGGTTTTTTGCGTACTCCTTAGATATTTGATTAATGCGTAAATGTTTGCTAATATATGTTTAGATTTACATACCTCCACTTGGTGCATCATCTTCCACATATACTAAATTTAAACCCAAATCCAAAACGTCATGTACCAAAGCCTGATACGACCAGGTGTGGTGTAAAGGTGTGGCCAAGTCTACATTGCGATCGAGCAACAGCAACACCGGCCGTTGGAAGCTAAATATTCCCCCACCAGCTTGCGTGGCATCCATATGAAATAAATTTGAGCGAGCATCCCAAAGATTCTCTCGTAGCTTTTTCTCTAATTTACGAGCAACCATTTCCGCGGCCGTATTACGTGGACAACGGATGATGGGCACATTACCCAATGTAACGAACGCCGCAAACAAGGAATCCACTATAGAATCCATAAGAACCTCCATTTCATCGTCGCGTGCATTAGCTCGATTAATGCTATAATAAGATAGTTGTTCGCCCTTTTGATGTTTTAAAATGAAGAAATCATCTTCCAAACTAATAAAGTTAAGATACTGGTCGTAAACCCTATGTATATTGGCCACACATCCTGCTTGTAGAGCGGCAGCAGCTAAATCTTCAATTTTTTTACGTGAAATAGGAGCTAAAAAATTTAAATGGTAAATGTCGTATAGACCACTGGAGAAATCTTGTTGTATGCGGTCAAGATTCTCATCGGTTGGCAGGCAAAAATAAATGGCCGGCACATCTGGTATAGAATCGCGATCGGAATGTAATTGACTGTACAATAAAAATTAAAGTAGTCGCCACAAAATATAACTTCTTTAAGAGCGATACATACACATGCAATGTTACACCCAATTCCCTTAATTCTTTTATTGAAATTATAGGCGAAATTATGTCTTGACCCACTCGATCATAAATTAGTATTTTCCAAATTGGCTCAGCAGCTAACACCTTCACCTGTTGCACATTTAAATTAAGCATTTGCTTGATGGCATCTAAAATATTAAAAAAAATTTTTTTTTAAATTTATTTTTCTCTAAAAGTGTAAAAATTTACTTGTTTTTGTGCTTATTTTTTGGTAACTTACTTATTTGCCTTTCTCTTAACGTTAACATTATGTATATATCCCCTCTGGATTGCTTATTTTTTTCTTAATATAAAATCATTTATTGATTTTACATAGAGTTGGTGTAAATATCAATGTTTTTATTTTTATGTTAATTTATTTTGGAAAGAAGTCATTTCTTGTTTTGTAAAAAATTGTTAAATGACCTGAACACGTCATAAAAATATTCGAAAAAGCAGCTGTTTATACGAAACCAATATATAAATCGGCTCAGAATTGCCATGTCAAATTAATCCAGTCTCTTTTTATAAAAAAGAACTTTTATTTGAATTGAGTGAAAGGAAAAATATAGACAAATATCTATTACGTATTAATATTCGAAATGTTAATTTTAAGAAATACTACATTATTATTATATAAAATTAAGCTAACTACAACTTTAAATTTATTATCTACGGTGCATAATCTTATAAATGCGTACATGTACAAGGAAAAGAAATAAAATTATTTATTTTTTTATGTACTTTTTTTCCTTTCGAACATACAAAGTTGGCCTTACGCAAATAGAGCAGCAACTTAACTCCGGATTAAGAAACCGTTAGTTGTCCATTTCTTTTACACCAAAATAAAGCAATAAGAAGAAGAAACAATAAGAATGTATGGAGAATAGACATAGAGTTGCTCCTAATAAATAAATAAGAAAAAGTGGCAACACATTTGTGATGAGTTCTGTTAAATGGCAAAGCAATGTAACTGAGATCTATTAAATGGCAATGTGACTGATTGCTGCTAAATAGCAGAGCAATAATTTTGAAAAATCACTTTTTACCGTCAGTTTATTAAATTAATGCTACTACAATATAAGAGATGATACAAACTGTATAACTTAGATCGTCAACACACTGAAACGAGGCCGCGGCTTAATTTCTTTCATTTACATTGCCTTTCCTGTAACCAACTTTTATTCTCAGGCTTAAAAAAAAACGACCTCACTGTGTTTACATATAAGAAAAAATAAATAAATAAAAATATTTTTAATTAAGCACTTTTTGGTATTGCCATATGACGAAAAACAAACCCCTAATTTATATTGAACCCAGTTACTGAAACAAACGGAAGAGCTATTTACATATCTCAGCGAATTTTCGTTCGTTAATTTGCTGAACAATAGAAGAAGAAAAGGAAGAGTTTATGGTTGGCAATGCTTTAAATTGAACAAAAAATTTTATTTCAATATTCGTTCTACACAACACCAATTGGTGACAGATGCGAACGCCGCCAAGTCCACTAATGTGCATTTTGTTAGGCTTCATATATTTCAGGTATCAGATTGTTATCAAATTAGACTAGTTTTTCCACAGGATTTTTTAGAAGGGACGTGGTGTATTTCCAAAATTTTATAGGTGATACTTCGTAAGTGTATGTATCTGAGAGACGCATATTGTAGGCCTTAAACACTTCTTAAGATAGCTGAAAGGTAGGATGCCGTAATTGCTTTTCATAGCATCCCATGGAATCGATGTTAGTCTCAAAAGAAAATATTGCTTTTTCATTAATTTCGTTTGAATCTAATCGAAAACTTTTTTAGTTTTTCTAAACTAACTGTGATGACGTTACCATTTCTATGTTTTCTTTTGAATTGGCTATTTTGTGTCTACCTTTGTGTCTAGCTTTGATTTGTGAACAATTTCATATGTTTTCTTTTCAATTCGCTATTTTTGGCCGATTTTAAGAGTAAGTTAAAACCCCACATAGTACGCACAAAAATTGGTTATGTGCCCGCCGTCGCCTTTTTATCTGAAATTTTTTAATTCGCATATTGCAACCAAGCAAAGATATTCTAACTATCACCCATCTGCAATTAATATAAGATCAGTCTTTTCCAAACGATACCAAAAATTACTGCTTACCGCATAATATCTGTAACAAGGATGCCTGCTGCGATGTCTGATAGACAGATGGATAAACCTGTTATTTATTTACATATTAATTTTTTTATTTACAAATGATCATCACAATGTACACTTACTTAATAGTTTGTCGACTACAAAGTTAATACAAAGGGTAAATATAATCGCGATTTTTTTTTATTTTTCTAAAAAGATACGTGTAAGGTGATTTGTAGTCTTAATTTTGATTTATTTTAAACGTACTTTACGTATTCCATTTTTGATAATTTTATGGTAAAATTAAACAAATCTTTTCTAACTTGAAATGAAAATCATTTTGAGAAAAACAGCAGAATATATATATATATATATATATATATATATCCATCGTGTTGATACATCTTTTAAAACTGCTACCAATAATAATAAAGGTAAACACGTAAAAGCAATAAAAAGTCTTAGAGATAATACATTCAGGAAAGTGCGTCTAAGTAATATTTAATTTCTAAAATTGATTGGAATGAAATCAGTTTATATTATTTTAATTTGTGTAGCTTTTATGTGGACTCTTTTGAGATGTACAAATTTCCAAGCCATAGGCAGAAACAAAGATTTACTACTTTTCCAACCAAAAATTGAACAACAACTCTACTCACAAAAGGAAATTAAAAAAACTGAAAAAAATATAAGTAAAATTGAACGTAACAATTGAATGAAGATAAAATGGGACGGAAGTTAACTGGATCCAAAAAAAATTGGGCGGGTAATAAGCTGAGTAAAAAGTTAGTTAAAGTTTACATTTTTCCTGTCCACCATCACATGAAATCATTATAAAAGTTTTTTTAAATATTCTAACTGGTAGACTATTTGTAACTACAGCGAATCTGGGCCAAAAATGTTTAATTAACCAAAAAAGATTAGAAATCTTTTCTTATCTAATTATTATTTATTAACTTTTTATTAATTGTTTAATTCCAATTCGAATATATATTTTATGAAGCTGGTCGTTGGCATAATTAATGCAAATTTGCACATGCGAATTTTAAATAAAATTTTTTTTGTTTTGTTTGTCAATCGACAAAGGATCAACATAATATAGTGCATAAAGCAGTATCACGAAAATTCCTTATATAACAAACATAAGAAGAGGAAACTTACGAAAAATATTGTTTGAAATATTTTTCATCACTTTGAAATATTGTCTGCTAACGTGTGCATGAACTGTCCACATAAAAAAAAATTTGTGCCGCGACGTATATACATATATACATAAATAAGTATATATCAAGTAAATAACGGAACTAATGACATATATTCAAAAGATTATGACGACAAAAGATTATAATATTATGTTTCACGTTATATTTTCTAAACTTATTTTATTTATATTTATTCAATTTTATGTAAATTAGTTTATATGTTTTTACGTCATAACCGTCATGATCCGCTGAGCTTTTGATTTTACGGGCTGATTTGACAGGTAAGACATTCGTCCAGCAGCACAATTTTGATTTTACTATTTCATGACCAAAGTTGGTCTATAAAGGTAATCTGAGGAGTTGTAATAGTTATTATGGAAAGCAATTTTATATAAAAGCCAATCACGTCGAACTTCGTCGGAGTAATAATTCTACGCATTATTTTACTATTGATAATCTAGATCAAATGATTAGGTTGACAAAATCAACATGTTCCGACAATAAAGCGTTAAGCAAGAGCACTTAGCGTCAGCATTAAGAAACGCAATCGATAACACACAGCCCATCAATTAGGGACTAGGTTCCGAAATGGACACTATGAATTCATAGTACTCTCAAAACTACATAATAATTGGGAAACAAACTGCGCTGGAAAGCAAACCTACGGAGAACCTTCGAACGTGCTACTATACATTAAGCTACAGATGTCAGTTTTTGGAAAGTTATTCTAAATAAAATTTTTTTAAAGGTAAAGAAGTGAAAACGTTGTAGTCGGTCAATGTTGTAAGCAAATACCCTACACAACTTTGCCTAGTAAAATTTTTCGTAATAAAACGTAGACAATTGTGCTTGGTTTCCATCTTAAGCCATACTTCTTATGAGAAACCTTACATGAATGGTGACCAGACGCGCTCCAAATTAATCTCCTTTTCAAAGGCATTATTATTATTGTTCACCTATTTTCGTTATATAGTACTAAAATTTAGACCTTATTGTCATATAAAGTCTTGCTTTTTATATGTATGTTTATATGTATGTGTGTGTATATTTATGTATATGTATATGTAGCAAGTTCTGACCTGTTGCAATTATTGGAAAAAGTCCTCAAAAGATTGCTTCTTCATATATACCTACCATATGCATTTTATGTAGTATTTTTCGGACTGTGAGATGCGCCATTTTACACAGAAAAATGAACTCAAATTTTGTGCTCGTCTTACGGTCCGAAGGTAACATTAGAATATTTTTTTCAATAAATCGTCTCTAAACTCTGAGGTCCGTGAGGTACGACAACAATAGTTCAGATGAAAGTAATACGAACGGAGTGATAGTACCGAAAGTCGCGATGGACTGAATCTTGATAGTGTGAGTCATGTTAACACTAATTCAAAATTTTGATCCGATAGTACATAATAAAACATATTTTTCTAAATCATGAATTTGAAGTACGTCTTATCGTCCGGTGCGTCTTATGATCCAAAAAGTACGGAACGCGTAAATCCCAAGATATACGACACTTTTCAAATTGGTTCAAACTACGTCGATGTATGTAAATGGACCGTATTTTGCTATTAATTAACATCTCATTTACTTTACTTATATTACAAAAGTGCATTTATATAAGAATTGGGCTGGTGTTTACTATTGAAAGTGAATAGTTCGTTTCATTGTGCAAACAAATTTATAAATTTATTGAAAAATGCATTATGAAAAGCTTTGCATCGTCAACATTTTTTTTATAAAAAGACAACAGCCTTGATGAAGATGTTCAAATGGTGAGATAAAGTCAAAATGCAATTTCATATCAAGTTTCTTTTATTGACGGCTTGGTTTCTAACAGCCGAGTCAACACCAATTTATTCTCCTGTTGAGGGGCCAACGCCTTGTAACACGTACAATTCAGTCGATGATGGTGGTCTTCCTTATGACGGCTATGATTATTATGTCATTTATAATAATTGCGAAGATAATTATCCTCCATATGAAGATCCTTATTATTGGTAAAGAAATCATTCGCGATGACGTCAGCATGTAATCAAACGTACATTTATGGTTTTGCAAATTAAAAATTTGTTAAATACTTTATTATAAAGTGAAATATGTAAAATTGATTTTTTGTACGTTGCGTAAAAGTGTTTGTGAAGTAATATATATGATTAAAAACTCTATAAAATCACTTTTGAAATGAATGTTGCAGTTGAGGCAAATGTCGGTAAATAATTAAGAAGTGATCGTCGAGAAGCGCCGACGTAATTATAGATTGCAAGCAAGAGACAACTGAAAGAAGGCCTTATTTTGAGTCAATCAGTGATACCTCGATTTACTGACTACATGGAAAATGCTGTCACATGCAAGAGCAGAGAGAGAGAGAGAGAGAGAGAGAGATCGCTATGTCCCCGGAAGGGTCCTTAAAGGATATTAGATGACCAGCTTAAGAAATGATGGGAAACTAAGCGAAGGGTGGAAAGTAAACGACTTGGAAAATTCTCTTCATCTTTCGGCTTATCTTTGTTCCCAATACTCTCAGATATATACTTAAAATTTTCAAAGAATTATTAAACTTGCTTGCGTCAGTTTCACTGATTCAATGGAAAATTTTTCACAATTTTACCAGCGTGGATGAAAATGCATTACGTTCAGTTTACCGACATCGGTGCAGTAATTAATTAACTTATTTGTTAATATTCACTTTAAAAATCTCCATGAGCGGTTGGACGAATGGGCGCACAATGTAAGAGAGTGTTTAAGCTGAGTGTGTATCCATGCTCTGTGGGTTTCCGATGCAAGATATTGGGAGCTATATATATATAAAGTAGGGCATATGACGAAACCCTTCAGTCATTGAACAGAGGTAGAAAAAAAATTTCATAAACTAAGATAACCAACATATAAAGATAGATATTTTCTTGCATCTCCTTTTTACGTTACCAAAAGTAATAGTTTAAAGCGAACACTAAATCGCTGAAATTCTCTGCATTCAGTTGTAAGCCACGTACGTCACCTGGATATCGGCGTTGTCTTAGTTCGGTGTAGCAACAAAAGTTTATGAATTCATTTCCAACATCTAATGAATTATGCAAATCATTCGGTATGACATCAAGAAAAGGAAAGAATCCCCTAAATCGCTAAGTACATATGAATTAATGAAAAAAAAAAAAAACATTTTACTATTACGCAAATGACGTACTTCATAACTAAAGCATTCCGGTTTACTTGGGATTTCCTTTGAGTGAAAAATCTCTGAAGTTTCAGATAAAAGCAAAATTGAGAAAGAGCGCCTTCGGTAATGCGTTTAAAAATTGTATATAAATGATCTGCTCAGAGGCAGTGAACAGTTCACTGTTTAGCAAAATGATATTTCATACACATTTTCTGTCATTTACACTATTACTGCTTAGTGTTATTTCCTTGTCATTTGAACATGAAGCAACTGATCAGCAAACTGGGGACGAAGGAAAATCGCTTGATGGAATGATAACGAGATTAGTTGGTCAAGCAACACAGTCATCAAGTGAGGAGAGTGTTGAAAAGATCGACGAACTAACTCGCGGCGACTGGAACACAAAAGTAGGAGAGGATTTACATCGGCAGAAACGACAATTAGGTTTAACATGTCGTGCAGGTGGTAACCGTGCTTGTGTAGCCCGTTGCCGTCTTCAAAGATCGCGAACTGGTTACTGCAATCGTCGAGGCACTTGCGTATGCCGCCGCTAGAAAAGATATTCAAAAATTCATATGAATTCTGTTCGTATAACCAATGGTAAAGCCCAGCACAAAGGATATACTACTGTTAAGCTTAAAGCAAGGCATTTAGTTGTATCGCCCTATATATGTCTATATATCAATAAAGCGACTAATAAAAGCAATTAAATACTAAAAAATAATTTAATTTGTTTTATCCTAAAAACATAAAAAAATCTCAAAGATGTTGAATTTGTAGTAAAGCGATTTGTTGGGAGGGGTCGAAAAGCCGGTTCGATCCGCAACGCTTTCGATAACTTTGCTAACACAAAATGGACGCACAGACATCGGACAGACAGGCAGAAAAACTTGAATCGATTGAGAAAAACCATCCTGGATTGATCGGTATAATAAAAGTTCGTTTTCTATTAATTTGCCACTCAATCCGCACGAGTTTAGCACGCCCCATGCCGCAACAAATTAAATTGATAAGGAGACACACTACTTATACGATCACGCCTCCAATACCGATAACATAAAAACAATTTAAATATGAATATATTTTGGATTATGATTTTAAAATTTGCCTCAAATATTTGCGAAAAAAAGGAAAAACCCCGCAAAAGCGCTAAGACAACCGCAATACTTTGCTGTACTTTCCCATAGAGTTAACGACAATCAACAAATGCGCTTTTCAGAAAACTTCAATATCAATAATTACGTTGTTTTTGTGAGCTATGGGCTTAGGGCTACGTCATCCGTTTAGAAATAAACATAAAAGGCCTCAAAAAAATTGCACAGTCGTTAAAAAGGGTACATAAACGCCAATTTTGGGTCGTCATCATCGAAACCAAGATTAATTTCCCTGAATATGGGTGACTAAAACAAAACGCAATAACTCCAGTTTTGCCACAGTTGCATGTTTCGCCACATTGACTTGGTTAAAATTTATTCAACTAAGTCCAAGTTACTTTTTTTTTTTTTTTTTTGGAACCAAGTGAAATGCTTAGTAACAAGCTAACTCTTCGAAACACGATTTTTTAACATATAAATTTATCTCGGGCATACACAAATTAAGTTTCTATTGCAATAACCTCTTCTGTATCCCATGGCTCGGCATTTCAATAGACAAGCTGCAAATCCACCCACGCGGCATGTTATCCCACCCCGTCGTTCGACGGTTTGCCTTGTTCTATTTTCAGCTTGCGAAGGTAACGGTAGATGCTCCACATTCTTAACCGCAATCTCAGTGTCATTGGAAGACGTTGAGGCGACCGCCACAAGCCACAAGATCAAGAAAAGAAATCCAATATAAAATTTCATGATCTTTGTAATCAAATATTTTTGTAAAGAGTGTTTTTCTCTTGCCTTAGTATTTATACCAAAAATTTTTTGTAGATAAAAAGTCTGAAATGTGCAACAACCAGCAATCAAATAAAGTCTCTTTACATTAACCAAACATTAGCTTTTTTAAAAAACAATAAATATTAATGAAACACTAATTAATGCTAGAGCTATGCAAACACTAGGTCTCTACGTTTGCGTTTTGGTCAAATAGTTAGGTAGTATAGTGTAATCAAAATTGGCAAATAATCCCAGGAAGTTTGGGTTTGTACAGCAATCGATTCAGAATAACTGTTAATAACAGAAGTCTTATTGAGTAGAAAGTGTTTTCGGAATTGAAATATATTCAAAATTAAAGTGTTAAAAAATATAACGAATAAAGAAGATAAGAGAGTCTTTAATTCTGAAGGCATTAAAGTCCTCAAGATTGTGTTACTAAAAACCAGTACCTATAGTGCCTATATAACCAATGCCAAAATATAGAGGAGTTCGTATCCTTAAGGTTTCTCCACTTGTAACTTACAATATTTTTGGCCGATTTGTCTAAAGATCTCATTTCAACGATTCTCAAAAGTTTATCACGGCACCTCATCAACGCCCTGCATCACTCTACAATTATTCATAGTCTAACTGTTCAAGGTAGGGCCATATAAGAAAGTGGTCGCAAGATGGTCGTTCAGACAAACTTCAGACATCAATTCAGAAAATGATTTTGACTGAATCGATTGGTATAATAAAGGCCTTCGGCGTGTTGCGTATATCTGCATAAACTTATTATTATTATTATTTTGTTTCTTTACTTTTTTTACCTTTTCTGATTAACTTATCTAGTAACTAAATTTTCAATAGTCAAGTCATTGAGACTTTATTTACCTTATTTTATTTATGTGTTAACACTTAATTATATCGCAATTTGTATTAAATTTTAGCAATTTTTTTTGTTATTGTTGTATTTGGTGAATATTTTTCTTTTCGCTTTAAGACTTCAGATTGATTATGATGATTTTTAACAAATATCGTGAAACTAGTTCGAGGGGGCATTGAACACAAGTTTCGGAATTTAAAAGTTGAGGACAGTGTTTTATACAAGTTGCAGTAACATTAGAGCACAAGTTGCAAGATATTTTATATACAACTTAAGCGTTAAGCACAACGATAGCAGATTGTTTGGCTTAACAAAATGACTATGCGCCAGCATTTTGTGTACATAAAGACAAAGGTTATTAAAATTGCATATACAATAGTACATATATTAAATTTTCGGTAAACATTAACAAAGCGGAAAATGTTGCATAAAGAACTTTAAATGCATAAGAACTTTAAAGATTGCATTCCTTGTTATTTGTTTGGAGCCTTCTTCCACCTTGTATTGATTTAAGCAAGGACTATCAAGTAAAATAAAAAGGGAAATCATAATTAAAATTGCAAGTTATATTTATTAATATATTTTTAAATTGTAATTAAATAAAATTTAATTACTGTCCAATTTCATTCCTAGAGGAATAATTGAAAATTATTATTAAACATATTTTCGAAAAGCTGTGTTTCATGTGGATAACAGAAAAGAAAAACCTATGCACTAAAACAGCTGTTTATTGTTCGAAAATGAAAAAAATATTTACTTTGTTCGAATTTCCGCTCGAAAGATTAACATTTACTGGAGCTATGCTTCTCACAATGTTGATTTGTGCTCAAAAATCAGTCTTTTACAATATGGCGGTTAGTGCGGTTGCGTTTTTGTGTTGTTGAATGGGATTTTAAGATAAAATCTGGTTAAAATAAATTGAAAAGCAAACAAAACTGATAAGAATAATTTATTATTTGCTAGTAACACTTAATATATTTTAAAGAGTTTATGAATGAAAATTTAATCTGAAAAAGAAGAAAAATTTATTTAGGCACTAAAAACAAAATTATTTTGAGCAGAGACGTTGTGGCAGACGCATAATTAATCTGATTGTTCATTTGCTGCTTTTTTTTTTTGTAATTTTCGGTTCTTTTCACAATTACTGCAATGATTGTGCGTGTTATTTGTCTCAGAGCGTGAGAGTGTGACCAAAGAATGTGAAGAACAGAAGCAGCAACAGCAGAGCAGTATATTTGTTTTATTTAGAACTTTATCAATTTCAAGGTGAATGGCATAAAAAGTTGTCAAGTGCTAAACGTGCTTTTATGCAATTGTGAATTTATCTTTAAGGATATACTCAAGTATTCCTACTTAACATTCAAGGGTCGAAACGAATTGGCAAAGAATAACAGACGAAAACATGATTTTAAAAAATGGTTTCCAACAGCAACAACAAGATAACAAAGGCACCTTTGTTCATCCACATAAGTTAAGCCGTTTAATTAGTATTCGTAATCGCACGATTTCTATTTATAACTGTAAACATACCTCCTACTCCCTCTCTTTGTGTTCCTCTTTAACGTATACTACCGGTTATTTAAGAAGAAAAACGTGTCATGGCGGTTGTTGTGCGTGCGTAAACGTGCATTTTGTACTTTTTGTTTTCATTAATTTGTTTTTAAAATCGTGCTGTGGCCAGTTATTAATCAATGTACAAAATCAGGTGAGTAACTAGGTGTGATGTGGTGTAAATGTGAAATTTGTTACAAATCCTTGCTGATCGTTACTCAGAGATTTCTATATAATAAAAAGGTTTGTGACTTTACTGTATACGCATGTTTGTAAAAATGTTGCCTGTTAATAAAGTGAAATATATCTAGACTTTTTTTTACCATGGTTTTCTTTGCCTAACTGAATTGCAAAATTGCGGTTTATAAACAGATAAAGAGTCCTCTGATTATCTATGATTTATGGCTTATCGAATTATTCGCACTAGTTGTTGATATAACCTTTAACTTGACTTTAGATGGAATATTAATTCACTTACACTTAGCGCCAAGCAGGTTTCTTAAATCAAGACACGATATGAGAATAATTAACAAGTAATGGCTGACAGTAGTTTAGGCCAAGTCGTTTGCAAAGTAATATTTAAACAAGTTGAAACGAGTGACTTTTGTGTAATACCATCTAATGGTATGTGAGTTATCCAATCGGATGTGCCCGTTTAGGTTGTGCATTGGTTCAATTTCTTCTGTTTGGTTTTGCATTCTTATTTACTTACCAAGTATAAGAAGATCGAAGTAATGCAAAGGAAACGGAAAAAGAGGAATAAAATATCAAACAAGACAACACAATCAAAGTGCCACGAGGTGAGAAAGTGAAATATGTGCGTCGCTAATCTAACGACAATAAGAATAGAAATTAAAGTAAAAGCAAAACTCATCAGCGGACAAGTGATCATAAAGGGTGAATGATTATGAAAATTATGGCAAATTATTATGAAAGTTCTTTGCTTGTTTATTTCCATTATCAGCTTACTTCTTGCAGCAATAAATAAAATATGCTTTAAAGAAATTTGGAAATTTTTTTTGAAAATCTAAATATGCGGGTAAAAGATAAGTAAATATTCTTAATACCATACCATCTACAGCTATAGCTACAGCTTTTGCATCTTTTGCATCGATTGTTCGCGATGTACAAAATGAGATTTTTCAATAAAAGCAAAGGTGAAAAGCCAAAACTTGATTTCAAACGCTATCAGTTATATTGTTGTTACACTCATTATCTAGATAACATTTATGGTAAATTTATGTAGATAACATTATTGAAAAAGGATTTATGCACAATTCAATGGTGATAGTGATGTGATATAAATTCATAGAAAATGGGTGGGTAGGAGTTTCAGTGCCATATAAAGCCACACAAAAAGCCAAACTTTCTTGATATAAACCAAATTAAATAATCAAAAAATTGTAGTTTCACTGAAATTACAACGATATAAAGTTATAGTTAGAGAAATTAGGTGTTTGCAAATATTTTGATCAAAAACTTTTCCAGATAAAAATTATAAGAAAATGCAAATACCAGGGTATATAACTCTTGAATTCGATGATTTTGACCTTCCTTTACCTAAAATAAGAGTTTTGCATTCAATATTATTGATTTATTTAGCGTACGCCGACGCTAATCATTGACCGCTCAAAATTCTTTTCTTCCAAATTCATTATTTTTGTTGTTTATTTGAAGAAATCTGCTGCCGAAGCTCACCAAACACATTTAGACGTTTATGGCGATGCTGTTCCATCAATTTTTGGTTTAAGTTTCAATGGTTTACAAGTGGCGACACCTATTGACTGAAAATGCCTTTCTTTGAGCACTTGTTGCAAGTGTTGTCCAGTATACACTCTTGCAGCTCGAACGGAATGTTCTGTCACACACTGTATACCCACCAGACATGGCGCCTTCTGATTGCCACTTGTTCAGGTCAGTGCAGCATGGCTTGGAGAGAAATGAGAACATGGATCGATGGGTGTTGTCAAACCAATATAAGTTCTCTCGGCACGATATCGACATGTTATCAAAAAAAATGGGAAAATCTTGTAGAAAATGAGGGAACATATTTTGATTAATATATATTGTATCAATTTTTCTCAATAAATACATTTTTCAAGTGAAAAAAGGACCCCAGTTTTCCTAGCAAACCCAAACACCCCAAACACCTAGCAAGGACAGACGCCAAAAGTTAAAAGCGATATTTGTGAAGGCACTAAGTGGAATCTATTAAAGGGAAACACAGAAGGACTTAACTCAATGTTTAGTGAAAGTAGAAATATTCCAGAATTTTTTCAAAAAATGTTATAAAAAATACACGTGTTCACGTTGATTAGCTAAAATTTGATATGCAAAAATCCTGTAGTATATCAAATATGAGATTGAAAAAGCGAGTACTGCGAACAAATAGAACTAACACTGCATGAATCCTTGACCAGTAACCTTTGAAAGGATGTGCAGATGTTATGGGACTTTGCAAATTGCCCTTCTTACTATAATGTTCATTATTATGCACAGCAGAGCAGTGTTTAAAAGATCGCTGTTAAATGTAAATTTAAATTAAATTCAAGGTCATTGTTTGTCGAACCAAGCACTGCTTGCCAAAAAAAAAAAAATATGTGCTCGGGGAAAACAATGGGAAAGAAACGAATAAGACAATACGAAAATGTTGCCCATGGAACATACATTATCTGCGTGAAATTGTAGAGAGCAGGCAGAAGCACAAGTTGCTTGTTCTTAGATGGCAATAGTTTTGCTTTTACGTTTTAATTTTTCATCAGTTTTACTGTTTGCGATATGTTTACATGCAAATAGAAACCATATGTTATTAGGTCGTAAACAACAACTGAATTATTTCGAATTCATTGCAAACACTAATAATTTCAAGAAATTAATGAAACAACCGTCAGGTAAATAACGTGTTGTTTTCGTTTAAAACGGTAAGCGTCCCATTTACAATCGCTTTATGTCAGCACAATCAAAAGGAAACTTCGGAGACGCTATATAAAGTTTATTTATTCTAGATCAATATCAAATTTTGAAATCATTTTTAAACATGTTCGGCTGTCCCTCTGTCCGTCTATGGACTTGTGTTGATGGTTTTGTTTTAAGAGTAAATTCATCCTTCAGTCCACATCTTCTCACTTTTTCAACAAAAATGACAGCCTATGGTTTATAAGTAAACTTCATATTGACTTATCGAACCCTTTGGATGTACTTTTGTTTCCAAGGCTATTTTAAACGTCTTGCAGGAAAATTCGAATGAATGGAATGAAAGTTCGTGGAGTTGTGTTATGAAAGAATTTATTTTTTTTAATTAATCTACATTTCCCCGAGAACGATGAATTTGTCCTTTCGTGTCTAACTGTTCGTATCTCTTTCATCGAGGCTTCTTTATTATAAGGTTTTGCTGTCAACCAAAGAATTGCACGTTTTACATTTTAGGTGTTATGGAAAAAAGGAGAAGAAAAGAAAACAACAAGAAAATTCGCAATTTCTTACCCGAATTCTAGTTAGGAACAAAACTTTCATTATATATTTTTAATTTCTTGGCAGAAGGACTCTTAGCTTCATATCAATTCATTGGACATTTCGCAAAAGCCACAATTAGGTGTTTTTGTTCGGAAATGATTTTAAATGACCGTAACCACTTTTTAAAATCTCTTCGTGGATTAAAGCAGTTAAAAATCAGACGGCAAAAAAAAGCTTTCCAGCTAGAAGTTTTTTTCTTTTATATAGATATGGTATTTTTGGAACGTTTGGGGAAGAAATCGAAATATCAAGGGTAATTTTTGGTTCAAATAATATCTCTTCGTCTGAAAATACCTTAATTATTTAAAGTCAATCTCGTATTTTGAGATTTTATCTTAGTTAAACGCTTGAAATGTGGTTTATTGCTGGATCATTTTTTAAATGTTGCTTAAAATCGGAGAAACTCCTTTGATGACATGTCAAGTACAATCTAATAAGAGATTGGAATGGAATTCTTAAAAACATTTTCCAATCTATGCCCATATGAAACCGGAATTTTTGTATGGGCAATATATGTTTATTGTAAGAAAATGGTAGAAAAAAATTATTTGATATATTGTCCAAGGCTTACATATCCATATTTCCCACCTGTCTCATAATTTAGTGGATGCATGTGGTCTCTACACGTTGTGTTAGGACCACCTTTGAGAAAATTCCGTCTTCATATTTCCACGCCGAGTAAGGCAGCAGTGTATCCTAATTTTTTCATAAAGTTTTATTTCATACGTACTGTAGGTTGTAAGGTCTTCATAGTGATCTAATTGCATTTTATTGTTTCAAGCTAATATTCTGATCCAAGGTAATTTGCGCCTCGACGGGTGACAAACGGATGAAAAATTCAGGAATGCATGCACCTGATGGAACTTCTCACGCGTACGTCGAACTTTTATTGCTGAAGAGAATTGTTGCAGTATACTCTCTTTTCCTTGCGCCATTGAGCAACCGACAACCATTAAGACTAATGAAATTGTAAACGAAAATAAATACTTGAATATTAAGAGCAGATGTTAAACATAAATGATTTACCTTTAGCAAGAAATAATAAGAATATCAAGAAATATTGTTTCGATCTTATTTGCACGCAATAGTAAATCTTGGTAATGTTGGAAAATAACTTTAACATCCAATAAGGTATTTTCGTTTCACGCAAAGCTTTTATTCATTTTCCAGGAACTTTCATCCCTTTAAATATTTCCGTTGGCTTGACCGCGTCATCCTCTTTCTACATCCAGCATCTACTCTTTAGTGTGACTTTATCTGCATACCCTGAAGATGAATCGCAACACAATCAATTCGTGTTTAGCGTACATGAGCGACCGTGAACTTGTAATACTTTTTTATTTGCCAACTATTTGCAAACAACAATAACTGTAACAGAAGAATAAAACAAAGAATAAACGTACTTTGCCCACAGAGAATTTGTAATTTTTATGTTACTCCGCATTTTATATTCTTTTAACATTTACTTTTTTATGAGTTTCACCTTCAGTAACTTGGAGGTATGGCATGTATGCATACATAGGTTTTGTGCTATTTGCTCCTTTAAAAAAGCAGAGTAAAGTCAAGCCAATTTATGATAAACATTTCAACTTATGCATAAACATGAGTGTATGTGCTCTTGCGAAATGGAACGGGGGCAGT